GGTGTGTGGCCTTCACCGTGACTTGTGATTGATGTGTGTGTGTGTGTGTGTGTGTGTGTGTGTGTGTGTGTGACCTGTTTTTGGTATGTGTGACCTTCACTGTGACCTGTACGGGGTGTGCGTGACCTGCGTGCTCGATATGTGTGACCTGTGACATTAATGTGTGACCCTCTCTGTGACCTGTGCCATGGGTTTGTGACCATCACTGTGACCTGTGTTCGGTTCTGTGACCCCCCATTGTGATATCTATCATTAATGTCACTATAATAATGTGTGATCCTTGCAGTGACCTGTGACGTGGATGTGTGACCATTACTGTGACATGAGTCTGTGATCCACATTGTGATATCTCTCATTGTTATCCTCACTGTGACGTGTGATGTGTCCGCGCGTGCGTGCGTGCGTGCGTGCGTGCGTGCGTGCGTGCGTGGGTGCATGGGTGTGACCTTGACAGTGACCTCTGCTATCGGTGTATTGCTCATCATTGTAGCTGTTGAATGCTGACCGTGACCCTCTGCTATGGGGGAAGGGGGGGGGAGGGAGATATGGTTTTATAGCAGATTTACGGGTTACTTGCTCATTATTGCTTGCACGTGTGTGCGTGCGTGCGTGCGCGTGCGTCGGTGAGTGAGTGCGTGCATGCGTGCGTGTGTGCGTGCATGAATGTGTGTGTGTGTGTGTGCGCGATATTGATCCAAGACAATTTTTTGACGTACAGGCACGTGGATCGTTCCAATGATAATAATTTAATGGTAAATACGACATATATTTAATTACTTTAATTACTTTAATGCTGGGTCGGATGAGCTTTTTTGGACCCCTCTATATGATATCAAACATAGCAGTGTCTCAGGCAGTCTTTTGACCCCTCAAAATGTATATGAAATGCTGTTACTTGTACATGTGTTTTTGGTGGTGCGCACATAAGAAAGAAAAATAGGACTACACTAACAGGAGGTGTCGAACTTATACTGATGCCACTGGAATTGCTGTTGAGCCGAGATTTGAAGATGTTTAGACTCTCTGATATGACCACTACACTTGGAAGATTGTTCCACTGGTCTACGACCATAAATGAAAAACAGTTTTGTCTGATTGTCGAATTACATCTTTCCTTAAACAGTTTTAGTTCATGACCACGTGTGTTATTACCACTTCTAACAAAGAATATACCCTCTCATCCATGTCTTCTAGGCTACTTAAAATTTTAAAGACCTGTATCATGTCGTACCGATCTCTTCAGTACCTCTAGTGATGGTAAACCGAGCTTTAGAAGCCTCCCCTTGTACGACAAGTGTTGTGTGTCACATACTAATTTTGTAGCCCTTCTTTGTACCTTCTCCAACAGACGAATGTCCTTCTTCAGGTACGGTGACCAAACTGGCGTTTCATACTCCGTTAACGGACGGACTAGGGATTTGTACAGGGAAAGAAACATATCCTTGTCCATATGGTCAAATGAGTGCTTGCTTTATCAAGCCTACCATTCTGTTTGCCTTTGCCTCCCATTTCCTCACTTGTTTCTCATATTTCAAGCTGCTATCAAACGTTACCCCCAGATCACATTCTTCAATATCCTGTTTCACAATGGTGTTTCCCATATATTCTTCTTCATAGTGTAGCAATACATTGGATAGTTCTTGCCAATATGCATAATTTTGCACTTTCCCATGTTAAAACGCAGCTGCCACTTATCTGACCAGTCAGTAGTCACACAGTTTGTCTAAATCCTCTTGCATTTTCTCACACTGTTTATCGTCATAAATGGCTTCGAACAGTTTCGTGTCATCTGCAAATATTTTAACAAAACTGTTTACGACATCTGGCAGGTCATTTATGAATATGAGAAACAGCACTGGACCTAGCACACTACCCTGGGGTACCCCGCTTACCACGTTTCTCCACTCTGATTGCGCTGAATTATGTGAGACAGTGCGTCTATAGCTGGTATTACCGTAGGACATAGGTTTGGCTCCCAATCTCTTGTGAGTCACAGTGTCGAAAGCTTTGCTAAAATCTAGGTATATATTATCGATTGGGTGATCACAGTCAATAAACTCTGACCATTTGTCAAACACCTCCAATAGCTGGGTAGTACATGATCTTTGTGGCCTAAAGCCATACTGTTGTTGTGAAAAAAGGTTGTTGATGTTCATATATATTCCATAATGTGGTCTCTCACGATAGATTCACACAGTTTACAAATCACTGAAGTCACGGACTCGGACTCGGACTCGGGTGGTGTGGACTCGGACTCGGACTCGGACTCGGGTGGCGCAGACTCGGACTCGGACTCGAACTCGGGGGGTGCGGACGCGGACTCGGGGGGGGGGGGGTGCAGACTCGACTACAACACTGGTGGTCTCTCACAATAGATTCACACAGTTTACAAATCACTGAAGTCAGGCTCACCGGACGGTAGCTTCCGGACTGCTTTTTATCGCCCTTTTTGAAGATAGGTGATACATGAGCAACTTTCCAGCCTTGGGGAATGGTACCTTTTAGTAATGTCTGCTCAAATATCATAGTTAGTGGAATAGTGACATTTTCCCTACATTCAAAAAGGATTTTTGGGTGTATACCATCTGGTCCCGGAGATTTGTCCGTTTTATCTTATCCAGTTTCTTGCGGACCATTTCCTCTCGAATTAACAGTGTGCTGATCGTGGGTGTCTCCCTTGGGATTTCATATGTGATGGTGCCATCAGTATTGTCATCCTCGTGAATACATCACTAAAAAGGTCGTTGAGCACATCAACCTTTTTTTGTTCTCCCTCAGTCATGTTTCCATCAGGTTTCATCAAGTCAGTAACACCAGAACGTGTTTTTGTCTTTGACTTAACATATTTCCAGAACGATTTCATGTCTGACTTGCATTCCAGGGCTATCTTTCTTTCATAATCCGCTTTTGCTGATCTTACACCAGTTGTGCACTTATTCCTTAACAGTTTGTATGCGTCATAATCCTTATATGATCTGGAATTCCAGTATTTTGACCAGGCCTTTCTTTTACCTGCCACAATGTCTGCCACATCCTTGTTCATCCATGATGGTCTAACACGACTCATCCTTCGGCTCCTTGTTTTGGGAATATGTGTTTTCATTGCCTTGTCCAAAATAACTCTAAAGGTTGACCAGTTGGATTCCACCTCATCAGAACATAAAACATATGTTCCCAGTCTATTAGTCCGAGATCACTATTCATAGCAACATAATCACCTTTGTAATATTGGAATCTAGGGCGCAAGTTCTCACCAGATTTTAAATAACAGTTGAAGTCAAACAACAGGATACAGTGATCACTATATTCCCAAGCAGCTGGTCGTATACAATATCGTAATTGTCGATCATGTTTTCCTCGTTGGTGAATACCAAGTCCAGTAGGCTTGGCTTCTGGTTGCCTCTGTATCTAGTCTCCTCACTCACATGTTGGTACACGAAATTATCTTGCACACTGTCGTAGAACACTGATGATGGATGCTGATCATGAGCTTCCGTTCTACCGTCTACCCAGTTGAAATCGTCCACTACTAATAAATGGCTATATATCTAGCGTTGCTCACGTCGCTCAGAAGTTTGCACAGAACATCATTATTTGCAGTGGTACTAGACGGGCTTCTATACACACACCCAACAAATAGTTTATCACTTATCAAGCTTCACTCTGCCCCATATCGATTCCTCAAAGTTAAGATGATCAAACTGATCCACTGGCACTGCTTGTAAATCGCAATGAGCATATATCGCAACTCCTCTGTTACCGGTCTTGCCTGGCATATAATCCTGTCGTAGTTGGCAATGTCTAAAACAAAGTCGTCCTGTGAACGTAGTCTGTTCTTGGGGAAAATCTCACACAAAGCTATCAACTTCAGTTGCTCAAGCATCACATACGACATCAATTCCGCGTGTTTATTAGTCAAACAATCAACATCTGTAAACATAACTTTCAACTTGTGCTGGTTAGTCTGAACTTGTGCGTTGAAATTATATATATTGTTATGGTTCTTCTTTTGTGAGCCGTTAACGAAAGGGCAGGCCCTCCTTGTCAGCCTTGGGGTGTGGGAGTTTTATCACGTTGCCTCTTCTAATGACATATATAGTTCCCATCTGGATCAGAGGCTCTCTTGTCTTGCAAGTCTTTGCGCAAGTTCCTGTATGCTGCTCGCTGTTACTCTGTATAATTTCGCCTAATCGAAATTTTGTCAAAGGCAGATCGAGCCTCTAAGTCTTAGTAGGTTAGCGTTCCGCAACATGCTATAGCGCGTCTCTCTGTCTGGAATGGTAGCACGCAGTGGTCTAGGTTTGTCACCTTTCTTACCTAATCGTCTGTATTCCTCCACTACCGGGGCAGATACATTGAGCACTTTGACGCAGATTTTTGTGAATAATTTCTCCACGTGTACTTGCCTTGCTGATTCGGAATCTGCCTTAGATTCTTCCAAATTCAAGAAAATGATATTTGACTCTCTTCGTCTCCTTTCCTCCCCCTCTCATCTATTTTTTTATCTATCATTTCTTCAACTGCTACCTTAATATTGCTTACGTTCGTGTCCTGGGAGTTCAGTCTAGTTTCAATGTTTTCCGGTTTGGCATCTAGACGTGAATATAGAACCTCTAATCTACCCACGCTTGCCAGGACCTTTGAGAAATCCCTGTTGCATTTAGTACAATACCAGTGAATGGCCGGGTTATCCCCCTGGTTCTCAGCCAGATCATACATATACATGGCATCCGACATCTGCTCACAGGTAGTATGGTGCCACATATTGCATATTTTACATTCCATGGCTTTTTCACCGTCTTTCAGTTCTAATCCACATGAGCCGCAGTTGTTGGGCTTACCCTCTATGAGTCGGTGTTGGCAGAAAGATGCGATATGATATGACTACTAGGCACTTTCATTTCATTTCATTTTTTTTTTTTTAGGGTTAGGTTTAGGGTTAGGTTTTTTTTTTAAGTGCCTAGTAGTCATATCCTAAGTGCCTAGTAGTCATATCCTAA